ACATATAGGGTTGCCATGAAAAATATGTTCATTAACGAAAGAAAACTCGAAGTCGTCTCCACAAGTTTACTGGCGGAATGTGCATCAGTTAATTCTGCTTCATTACTTCTGATTGAGACAAAAGTAATGAAGCAGAATTAACTGCACATTCAGCCAATAAACTTGTGGAGACGACTTAAAGTTTTTTCTCGTTGATCATCCTCCTCCACTTCGAGTATGGACTACTTCAGAAGAATATGTTCATTACTATGATAAATAAAAATGTAAAATAATGATTTATTTTTGAAATTTCACCGACTTGCTTACCAAATGAACGAAATTCCAATGGAAAGCATACAACATATAGAATATGGAAGAGCTACGTTGCCTATATTTTTCTGGTCCCTATTACCGGGTTGCCTATATATGACGAGTGAAAATGACTTACCAGAAAGAGAAGAAAGAAATGGTTATTTGTGATTAAACGAAAAGATCTTACTGATTTAAAGATGAAGTATCAAAGAGTCTGTAGCATATATTTTATAAAAAATATATGTTCTTCAAAGCTAGATTTATGCAGAAATCATAAGTTTAAAGTCTTGAGAACATGAATCATCTCTCCCAAAAAGACTTCGTTGATGTATTATTTTAGTCATAGTAATACAGAAGATTGAAGGAATCTATTTAAGATTTAGGAGATATAATAAATAATTAGTATAGGTACAAATTCATTGAAATCAATCACAGTTTCCTTTTCCTGAGTCTTTTCCTTTCTGTTTTAATGACATTTTTCTTGGCTATATCTTGATGTTTCCAAAGTTTTAAGATATTTGGTATAACCTAATATTAAATAATAGTTTTTAAAAATTGTTCCATTGAATTCCATCACAGAATCACTTGATTTGCATAAAAATCATTTCTTCGCCATTTTTAATATTTTCACAAAGTTCCATTTTCTCAATTTGAAAGCCAGGCAACCGTTATTCATGAACAGATCTTGCAACCCTATCCCTATACCACTGTATTCTTTATAAAATTGCCTTCATTTCGATATATATATCACAAGTGGTAAACATATGAGTGCTATTATTGATATCAACTTGCCAGGTTGTATACGGCAACCCGATAATAGGGAACAGAAAAATATAGGCAACCTAGCTGTTGCATTTTCTTTATGTTATATGCTTTCGATTGGAATTTCGTTAATTTGATGAGCAAGTCGGTGAAATTTCAAAAATAAATCATTATTTCAAATTTTCATTTATCATTTTATCATTAATGAATTTTCATGGTAATCCTATAGATTTATGTTCAGAAACATATTTTATTCGATAAAATATAATTTTCATCCGGTAAGTAGATGAGTGAAGGTCGACCTTTCTTGGCATCCTCTACTATAACCTTGACTCTGACCGATATTAAAAGGTGCACCTTTTTTGTAGAAATAATAACATTGATTTTTCTCAATAGAAACATAAATACACTGAAGCGAAAACAAGTGGCACTTGGTTTTATGTACCCAAAGTATCGAAAAAGCGCTCTCTACAACAACTTCTGAAACTTCAAACTTCACAAACGATAAGATCTCCACAAAATTCTCAAACACACGACATGTTTCGCTAACACAGTAACTTCGTCAGGTGATATACTGGTACACTTGTACACTTCTACAGTATATCACCTGACGAAGCTGTCGAGAATTTTGTGGAGATCTTATCGTTTGTGAAGTTTTTATATTTGCAATGGATTTCCATCAAGTAACGGCCGAGGCAATTCAAAATACTAAATATTCGCCCCACAAAAACGGCATTCAACATATTGTATGCAAAGATATTGGTTTAAAAATAAGTTGATTACGAAATAAGAGAAATTGAATATTTATAGAGATCTTGTATCTCAGTAATATACAACTTTTCAACTGAGCTCAGTGTGGCAGAATCGCAAATGTTCATTCAAGCAATCTCCATCAGTTTCACTTTGTACCATATTATCAATTATTTATTTGTTAGGTTTTGCTTGATAATATTGAATTCATATTATAAAATTCCCATCAGCCCTCCCTATCTCAATTGACAGCATTGTCTAAGGGTGTGTATAATTTGCGAACTGGAAAAAATATTTTTGTTATTTCTTGGGGAGCACGAAAGGAAATTCCTATAATGTTCGAGGAACATCGTGCGTACCTAGGGAGGATATGGAGAGGAGGTAGGTATTGGATTTTTTTTGCTTCGGACTAACTAATTTTAGCAAACAACTGTTTGTATTTATCAAATATCTAGATTCAACTCATCGAGCTACACCATTAAAATTTTCTGAATTTCCCTAGCCCCCCTGAGGAGCACTTTATTCGTGTATTTTTTTATAAAATCATCTCAATATTCACAAAAATCGATTTATCTCATGACAGAATACATGATGAAAAGTTTTCAAAATGTTTCCTCAGCCCCCCCTAAAGAGTACTTAACTCGTGTGTTTTTTCATAAAATCTTGCGGACTGGGTATTTTTGCAAGTCAAATCATCTCAATTTCCTCAAAAATCAATGTATATAATGAAAATATATGATGAATAGTTTTTGAAAATTTTCCCTATCCCTCCTGGGGAGTACTTGTATGTTTTTGCATGAAATCTTGCGAACTGGGTATTTTTGCAAGTCCATAATCTCAATTTTTACAAATATCGAAGAAACTCATGGAAAAACACGATGGAAAGTTTTTAAATTTTTTCCATAGCCCCCTTGCAAAAATATTCAGTCTGCAAGATTTTATAAAACAACACTCCAGTAAAAAACTCCCCAGGGGGATTAGGGACAAATTTTGAGATCATGAGATTAATCGATTTTTGTAAAAATGCAGATGATAAGACTTGCAAAAATACCCAGTGCGCAAGATTTTATGCATGAAGATACACAAGAGTAAAGTGCTACCAGGAGGGCTATGGAAACATTTCAGAAAAGTTACATCGTGTTTTTTCATGAGATGAATCGAATTTTGTAATGATTGATATGATTCGACTTTGGAAAAATATATCCAGTCCAAATGATTTTCATAAGAAGCACACGAGTAAAGTGCTCCCCAAGGGGGCTGATGAACTATTTTAAAAACTTTCTATGATGTATTTTCATCCGATCAATCGATTTTTGTAGAAATTGAGATGATTGCACTTGCAAAAATACCCAGCCCGCAAGATTACATGAAAAAAACACACACGAGTGAAGTGCTCCCCAGGGGAGCTGGAAAAATTTTAAAAACTTTCCATCGTGTATTTTCATGAGATTAATCGATTTTTGTGAAAATGCAGATGATAGGACTTGCAAAAATACCCAGTCCGCAAGATTTTATGAAAATATACGCGAGTAAAGTGCTACCTGGGAGGACTGGGAAAACATTTCAAAAACTCTCCATCTTGTATTTTCTCGGATTTTTGTAAAAATTGAGATGATTGGACTTGGCAAAAGTACACAGTCCGCAAGATTTTATGAAAAAACACACGAGTAAGCTCCCCAGGGGGCTATGGAAAAATTTCAAAAATTTCTCAACGTGTATTTCCATGAGATAAATCGATTTTTGTGATAATTAAGGTGATTGTACTTGCACAAATACCCACTCCGCAAGATTTAATGAAAAACACACGAGTACAGTGCTCCGCAGGGTGGCTGGGAAAACATTCTAAAAACTTTCCATCGTGTATTTTCATGAGATGAATCGATTTTTGTGAAAATTTGGATGATTAGACTTGCAAAAATGCACAATCCGCAAGATTTTATGAAAAAACACACGAGTAAAGTGCTAACCAGGGGGGCTAGGGCAAAAATTGAAACTATTTACTATAGATATTAGATAAAAGTTGCTTGCTGAAAATATGTAGTCCGCAGCATCTTATTCCAGTCTGCAAATAATGCACACCCATTATCCAATATCCATGCACGTTTAATGAAATGATTGCACCTCATTGCGCAGATTGTTCTTAATATGATAATCTTATTTGTACACTCAATTGAACGATGCAAAATGTGAAAGACTAAATTCAATTCTGTATTCTTATCTAGAGTTGCGAGTACTTTGTCAATTGAAAAACAAAAGCCCAATATCCCAATGGACATGTTCGACTTTGATTTTAGGCACAACAAGAAGTTTTATTATCCAGCTATCGAATCATCTCCAGCTGATCCTTTCACGAGAAAATTGGTGATTCTTCCAAATAGTACCTTTATTATATTAGAGTTCAATACGAGTAGGTACATTAATTTCAGTATGCACCTACGTCTTCGATGATATTTTTTTCTGGAGATTCGGAGGAAAAATTACTGGTAAACGTTTTGATAGTTTCATTATAATTTGATATTTGATCATAACCGTATGATTGAATTGATGGTAAAACTTTCAGGAAATGAATTGATTATATTTGTTTTATAGCGATGTTTTTCAATGAAGTCCATCGAAACTTGATGTACCTTCGACCAAGGAACATACTGTTAGATACGAAGTCGAAAGCATTTTTTATTACTTTATACTAGTTCATCAAGTGATATATCCTACTAATTACATGGAATTATCACAAAATGTTTCAGAACATTCGTCAATCAAAAAAGCTCCGTGTCAATTTTCCTCGGAATAATCAGGAACTTAGGTTTTAACTCCAATGTTGACGTGTACCAAAGCAATGGGACGTGAGGTCAGGCGCGACATACATTTTTTCTTCCGTTTCATGTGGCCATCACTTTATAACTTCTTCTTTGTTGATGTAAAAGAGCAAAAATCCAAACCCGCTCAAAACTAAACATAACTTGTATTTGTTTACATAGGGCACACCATAATACTCGTTAATCGGTCAGGTTAGGTAGGTGATTGGTTAGCTTAGACAGAAGGCGGACTGAATCAGGAATAATCTAATGTTGAAAATAGTTATTCGATAGTTAGAATTGTAGTTGATGAATTGACTTGATGAGAAACCAGTGGTATATCGTATGCATGTGTGAATTTACGGGCCGATTCAATGTAGTATCCTAACGCATTTTTCCCAGCTGTACAAATGTGAAGATAAACTTCCGAGAAAAAGAGAAAGAAGTCTTGGACCAAATTCTGGGTCCCGGACGTTACGATGCCAGAATTCGACCATCGGGTGTAAACGGCACAGGTAAGTGAGCATACGGGTACATTTATGAGGGCGATAATTTCGGTGTAGGGAGCCAAGCCGACTTACCACAATCCAGAGATGCCACTGTAACTTCTTTCTGCTTGTTGTACATAATATATTATAAATGTAACACATAATAATCATCACTCTAGATGGGCCTGCCATAGTCCGGGTAAACCTGTTTGTCCGCAGCATAGCAACAATAAGCGACATCAAGATGGTAAGTGGAGGCCCAGAGTTCTTGTAGGGTAGTGTAGAGGTGCTCCACGTGCTACACGAGCCAGCATGGGGTGGCAGCGGTTCGGCTCGTAAACTACCACCGAAAACACAACAGTTCTTTTACCCAATGCGCCCAATTCCAAAATTCATGTTCATTCGCAATGGACAACCTCACAAAATCAAAATGTGTATAACGCTAGGTGCAAGGTATTACAAGGTTAGATACCGACTTCTCCAAACAACAAAATTTGAGCGAGGCCACGAAGTAACGAACCTGCTGCTTCTATATGGTAAGACGAAGTAAGACTACGAAACACATTTTCCACATGAAAATGAACTGTCTACGGCACTGATCGAATTTTCGATTTTGTGGTTATTGTGTGACTGGTGACAATATATTCCCTGTATACCACAACTCCTGTTGAAGTCAGTAGAAAAACATTTGTATCGGACCTTTTCTGTATCCATTGTCATTGAATGCCTATCAACTCTTTTCCGATCATTTCCATTTCCCACTTACTCAAATGATATATAGTTATTTAACTATAAGGTCATGGAATCTTATAAAATCTGTTTTCCAACGTGTTACCCGTGTGTAACTAAAAATAACCGTCAGAATGTCTAAGGACTAAGGCTCTCATATGCATAGATATAGTAAAACTGATGTTTTTCACGGAAATATCACACAGCTTATCCCTAATGAGAGCCGCAAGATGTGCCTAAATGGAACAAGCTAAAAATAGACCCATAAAGGGCGAAATGGAATTTTTAGGAAGACTATCATCGATTGAGTTGAAATTGAAAGTTATAATGGTTAGCATGCGAGGCACCTTTAAAGGGGATGTAGTAATTAGATTGAAGGGAAATCATTCTGGAACAAGCACTCAATCAGGAGAGCAATAATATTCAATTAACTGGTGAATTAGTCAACGTAGCAATTTCCCTTCTCCTTGATATAAGTTTCAACGTGTCCACACATACATTACTACTGATAATATTTGAGCATAAGTTTCATAATAAGTTTCAAAATTCATAACATAAATGAGTCTGGGACTACATACACCTAGTAATCGAACCACGAAAATTTGTGTGGACAGTTGTGTGTATAATTCAAATGTAGACAATGCATGGTACAAGTTTTCCAGTTTTGGAGATCTACAGTTTCAGTGGAATTGCATCAGTTGCTAGCAGAACTGGAAGATATAACGTTTTTCACTAGCTGGTATTGTTCCTCGTGAAACAATCATGACTCAGGCCTTCAAAAATTGATTTATATCGACCAATCTTGGAGATGAGTATTAAAGAATAATGAGAATCAGCATTGAATTAGCTAAGAGAGAGTTCATAAAATTAGATTTTTATGTTCAGCTGTAGCTTAGTTGAAATCTCTCAACAGGACCAACGAATGACAATGACTAAGTAGTAACTAAATTGGAGCAATCAAAAATTATATATATTTCTCCATACATGAATAAGAACATACGGAATTCCCTATATGAGGTTCTCATTTTTCTGTCTTTTTATACAGGTGTTCAACCTGAAATGACCTGAATTGTTAAATATTATCTTGTTTACTTTCTTCATGTCTCCTAAGACGGTGTGAATGAAAGTATATGAAGGATGAGAAATAGCTTCGATCATAAAACAGACGAAATACTCACCAGTGGTATATAGTATGCCTACCAGATGGTGAATGGTTCCTAGCAGTGATGTTGGGTTTATTTTAACGTACCTGATAATTTATCGAAATATTTACCATATAACATAAGGAAAATACAAGTGTCTATGAAACTTATATGATAGCTCAGTATCTCAGGACAAGTAAGCCTGCCAAGAATTTCGATGAGATCTATGGTATTTTTTAATCATTGTCTTCTTATTGAAGTGTCTATTTTCGTTATAATGAGTAATATCTAGAACTGGAGCTCCAATTCTTTTTGACTGGTGCGTAGTGACGAAATTAATAACTTGATTCAAAATTAGAAGACACTTCTACACGTAACTTTCCGAACAAGTGGCAAAATGTTAACACTAATCCACTTCTTCACGCTCGTACAGGTCGATTTCAATTTAGCGAAGGACACATTTTTCTGCAATTATCATATTCCAAAGTTGAAATCATGAAGCGTAACGGGCATCAAGTTTCGATTTTCAAATGGAACACCCTGTATTTGATTGCATCTCTAAATTCCTTTTGAAGAGCTGATTTCTTCAATGCATCACACTAGGGGTCTAGCGGGAATGATCACAGAGATATAGGGTGTTCAAAATGGAGATTTTCCAACTTTACGATTTTTTTGTGTCGAAACTGTTCATTATCAGCCAAAACGGCTTCCATGTCCCCATCTTAACTTTTGATTCACTATCTACTGACATTTAATTGGAACACATACAGGGTGGTTCAAGTATCAGAACTCTGATCACCCTGTATCTATTCCAATTAAATGTCAGTAGATAGTAAATCGAAGGTTAAGATAGGGATATGTAAGCCGTTTTGACTGATAGTAATTATTCCCGCTAGACCCATACCATACCTTTGAAGACATCCATTTCGATGCTTGATATTACTATCAGCAATAACCTTTCCTGGGAGAATCACGTGAGATCAATTGCTAAAATTGCATCCCAAAAACTTGGTTTTCTGTTTCGGGCCAGGAGCTATTTCACTTCCAGTCAGCTGCTTATGATCTATAAGGCACAGATTCGACCTGTCCTGGAATACTGTTCCCATATTTGGAATGCAGCACCCAAACATACCCTGAAACTGTTGGATTCTTTCCAAACAAGGGCAATTCGTCTCGTGGGTGTTGTCTCGCTCACAAACTGACTCAATTCTCTGGAACACCGTAGAGAAGTTGGCGATCTGGCTCTATTTTAAAGATATTTTCATGGACGATGCTCTTCTGAGATATCAACAATTGTTGCTCCCTTGGCAGTCCCCGCGAGATTAACCCGTCGAGTTGAGGCTTCGCACCCCTTTGTGGTCACTTTGGAGACCTGCAGAACATCTCTTTTCAAAGACTCGTTCATTCAACGAACAGCGAGGCTCTGGAACACATTGCCAAGGGAGGGTTTTCCCGAGGCATATAACCTCCAGAAATTTAAGAAGAACACCAATTACTACCTTGTTTCCCTTGGTTCTTATGATGTTCCCTGAACGTTACAGGATATCCCTTTTCGTGGGAACCAGAACATAAAAAAAACAAGTGTGATGCATTGATGAAATCAGCTCTTCAGGGAGAATCTGACGATGCAATGAAATACAGGGTGTGCCATTTAATAATCGAAAGTTTATGCCCGTTACTTTGTAATGAAAAATGTGTACCTCGCTAAATGGAAATCGAACTCTTCGAGCTGTTTTTCATTAATTGAAACACAACGGAGAAAACTTGGATGGAACGTTTTCGATGGGCCACCACCATTGTGAGTAGGTGTAGGTAGTTTTTTTTTATCGCTTGGAGCGCACGAAAGGGAATCCCTATAATGTCCAAAGAACATCGTGCGTTCCTAGGGAGGATCGGGACAGGAGGTAGGTATTGGAATTTGTTTTGAACCTTTGGAGATTATATGTTGTTGGGAATACTCCCACAGGCAATGAATTCCAGAGCCTAGCCGTTCTATGGATGAAGGAGTCTTGAAAAAGTGCTGTTCGACATCTTTCGAGGTTGACAACGAAAGGATGTGCTGACTGGACTTGTCTAGTTCGTCTAATTGGTATTGCTAGTGAAGGGATGATAGCAGAGATTTCCGAAGAACATTTCCCGTAGAAGTATCGATAGAAAAGTGAAAGGTCGCAAAGCATTCTTGAACTCTTCCTGAGCAATTTCGTTCCTATGGTTTTCCTGAAAACATTCTCATAATTCTGTTCCTTTCTTGATCTCGTATAATCGTTTAGGTACCTATTAATTCATTGCATAAATAATTATCCGGTTTCAAGAATACCTTCCTTCGATTTAGTTCAATTTTCCATTTCATCTGTATGTGACTATTTTTAAATCATGCGACTGCAGACTACACAGTCTGAATGGTTTGTGAAATCGGAAAATAATGCGATGGCTTGTCAAAATCAGGTGTATGAATCCATTCATCAGTTCGATCGCTTTGCGGATATTTGAAATATTGGAGGTATCGTAAAGCGGGGTTACGATTTTCGCGTGCTTCTATGTTGTATTCTGTCTACTATACAATCTAGATATATATTATACAGCACAAAGTAGGTATCATTTCAATATGTCCTACACCTCCACAAAACACTTGATAATTATAATTTTACCAATTTCATTGGGTATATTTTTTGGGAGAATTGTGTAATATGCTACCCAGCGAGCGGGCAAAATTTCACAAATTCATAAAATAAATTTGATTTCCATGGCTTCAGGAAACCAGAATTATTAAATGCATAGAATATGAAGTTGATGATTTTTTCAATGATTAATCAGTGATCATTAAATATTCAAATAGTTAGTGGTCATCCACAAACCGCGTAGCAGCCAAACATAATGAGTGTGACACTAAGGTTATGTACCAAATCATCTCCATCTCAGAATCCTACCTCAGATTTGTGAATGTGAAAAACCGTTAGTGAGAATTCACCATAAGGATGAAATGTAACCCCGCTTTATGTTATAAATATAATTATGCTGTAACGTTGTGTAACCAAAGGAGGTTCAGTTTTAAAATGGACCTCCCAATTAAATCCAATGATGATAATTTATTATAAATCATACTGACATCCTCACTAGCCAGAGTTACCTTTCCTTCGGTCCGACAGTCAGCCAGCT